AATTTTAAATGTAAAAAATCTGTTGACACCGTGTGGAACATCAAATATGTAGAATTAGAAGATACAAGAATTTTTTAATTCTCTCGATCCTGGTGGATTGCCACCTCACGAAGTGAAATTAAAAGGAGGTATTCCCATCACCTAAGGAAAGAGTGTTTCTCTCAATGGCAAAACTATATGTTGCCCTTTCTCGAGTAGGATGTCTTGAAAATCCATATGTTTTTTTATCACCTACAAATACCACTGCCCACAGCCAACAGGATTAAATAAAGCTTTAAAATTAAGATTTAAATATAGAAAGAGAGTAAAGAAAAAAAATGTAAAATTGAAAGTAACTTTGAAATACTCTTAAAAATGAACAATAAAAACGGAAAAAAATTTATATATAAAAAATTTAAAAAGTTGTATAAATGTAAATAAAACAAGAAAAAAAAGGTTAACTTCGGCTGTACCGAAGCTAATATACCCTTCACAGGTGCATTTCTTTTAGTAACTATATGTTTAAGTAAATCTAAAGGCGTAACCGGCCAGTAGCTTTCATTCAAAGGAAAACATTTCACTAATTCTTTTTAGCCATATTGTTTGTTAGAAACATTAAGGTTATTTAATAAAGAAAATATACCTTTCAGACGTTTATAGTTATTTCAAATTTTAAGAAGATTTATTATTAACATAAACTTAATGGAAACAAATTATAATATTTATATATATATTTGAGTTTTAATGGGATCCTGCTGTCCAAATGGGTTCGGAGGAGAAAATTTTCCGATTATATATAATCCATTGGCATTTGTGGCTCTGCTACATTGTACGTATAAAGCTTCGTTCATTTGTTCATTTCGCTTGTATTGGAATGATCGGACCACGCTCATGATTGGTGTCCAATCTGCATTCCGACTATGCGGCTGCTTGGAACGTGCAAAGCTTCCAACTCTTGGTTCTGCGAATTTCCTCCATAGTCGCACCACTGTGCTTTCCGGTCCAGACGATTCGGTATCCACCTGCATTATTTCCCCTGTAGCACCATTTACCAATCCATCACTCGTGTTTATGTTGACTGTTACCATATATTTTATCGATTTTTTGAGCTGCAATGTATCAGGCATTCCCTGTTTACTCTGCTGCGTTCTGTTAAGGAACTTGACTTAATTTTATCCTTCGCAGTCGAAATGAACTCGTCGGTCATCGTGTTCGCCAGTTTTGYTGAATTGAAATTATTTGCTCCAGTATTTGAGTAAAAGAGACGGATGGCTTCGTCTTTTCCCTGCTTTTGATTAATTGGATGTCAGCGTGTGTCATATTTCCATCTGACATGTTGTTTAAAGCGATGGCAAATTCTTGATCTTCTTGCTGACGCAATATTTCGGTGAGCTCGAAGTATCGAAATTGATCCCAAAGCGGAGTTCCTGTAATTGCACTGTAATTATCATTGATATTCGGTGCAAATATCCATCGATCTCCTACTGGTRGCAACTGTTTGAAGTCACCAAACACGATAATTACTTACAATTGCTTTGCCAGTGGGTGCGCAGAGTAACACCTTGGCTGTTTCGGGGTTAGTTCCTGGTACACTGTTAGCGCGCAATGTCAACGACTGATATATAGTCGTTATAAGCCGGGTTTTGCCCACTCCAGCACCACCTCCGACATATTCGTAGAACATTTTCTTCTTAT